TGTGAAGCCTAGTAGCAGGTAAAGTTAGTTTATTTTTGTTTCTTGTTTTAACATCATAACAATTGTGAACATAACTGTTTCTAAGAAACAAATTAATATTAATTCAATCAAAGAGCAGTATTTATATTATGTTTCCAATTCAAATTTAAAAGCTTATAATGTACAAGCATCACTTCATATCTATTTGACTACTTAAAATTGACAAAGATGGAATTATGTATTAAATACGATTAAGCCTTAATTTGAATAAAGACCTTTGGTACAGTTGAGAATAAATTTTATTCATTCTTGATCATAAAAATTTATTGTTAGTTATAGACGAATTGAAACCTATCTTAAAACAACAGAGCAAATTATTAAAATGAAGATGGCATAAACAATTTATACGGACTTCGTGAAATGAATAAAAATATTGTAATATAATTATAAATATGAAGCAGAGTCGTTTAATTCGATTTAGGGCCGTACTCAAGATGTCAATTAACCTTCAAGTTTAATAAAAATGGTGCTGTCAGTTGCTTTGGGATCGCAATAGTATAAGGCATCAGGTGACTTAATAAAGAATCCATTGTTTTTTTTTGTTTTACTATATAAATTATTATGAGGAGCTCAATGGCGCAGATGGTTAGCGTGTTCGGCTGCAATCGTTGAAGTTAAGCAACTTTCGCAGTGGTCGGTCATTGGATGTGCTTCGGAAGGCACGTTAAGCCGTTGGTCCCGGCTGCATCTGCAATCGTTAGCACCCGCCAATCCGCACTGGACCCGCATGGTGGGTCATGGCGCAATCTCTCTATTCCATCTATAGGGAAGGCCTGTGCCCCAGCAGTAATAGGCTGATGATTATGATGGTGATGATATAAATTATAAGAACGACGAACCATAAGACAATCAAAAAAATGGGATGGAATTGAAAATATAACCTACTTACCTGAAGTTGAATATCGCACAGAAAAACATCTTTAATTTTGTCTGAATACGATAATTTATTAATGTAATATGCAATCTTTTTAGTTAATCAGCAGAGTATATATGTTCATGCAAATCGAGCACATCCCTAATTGTTACCGTCGCGAACGCATCTCTAGCCTAGCGCCGGAAACGGAGACATGTTAGTTAGTTTCCGATTAGACTCGGTCTCTCTCTCTGGTTGAGCGACGACGCTTAGAGCGCACGTTGTAATTTCATTGTATCGAAGCGATAACGTTTAGGTGATAAAGACGCGAAGCCGCGTATCTATATTATTGTGGTTTAGTATAATAATATAATTAAAGGTGTATAAGTTAGTGATGTCATAAAACCGAACAATATATTGTGTGAAGCAAACACGTGTTTCTCTTCAACCACCGGTCACCATCCACATCCAGGCAAGGCCACAACCAAAACGAACCCGCACAGCACGATATTAACGGCGGCACGACAGATCGAGTGAGTTACGCAAATAAAAGAAACGAACGAACGACCTCAACGGACTCGCAACAATATAGTAATCTGTGAACTGTTCAGTTTACGCGCTAATCAATGCCAGTGGAGCCAACCTTACGGTACTGTAACGCTCGTAGCGTCACAGCCTCTTCGCTTGTGTATATATAAAAAATTAACAATTCTAAAGAAAATATAATTAGAAAAAATTCCTCCCGGACCAGGCAGCAGACGGGACTCGAACTCGAAAAAAAATATATATATATAAACATAATTATTCAAATTTTGAAACATGAGAATCTTTTGCCTCACATCGAGGTCTCTAGAGATTGAATTCAGGCACAGGTAGACATAGGTTGACTATTATTAATTGTAATTTTTATACGTGAGTTCAAATAAATACTTTAAGAGTCTAAGTACATATATTTCTCTACCACTGAATAACGTACAACAGATTCTCCCTTCAGAAGAACCTCACAGTATGGACCCACGATTATTTTCGATTTTGTGCGAATCAATCGACTCATTATTTTCTTTGCTCCCCAGTTCTTTCTGATAATATTAATCTCGTGTCGTTTGTAATGAAATATATAAATATAATATATTTATGAAAATCTGGATAAGAAATATAATTTTAAATAAACACAACGTTTCATCGCTATCAGAAATCGCTTCCAACAACCTGTAAATAGAAAAAATTAAGAAAATGTAGAGTCGGTGGTGTTAATAAAATAAATAAAGCAAGTACATCTACAAAAATAATACACAAAGCAATAAATAACATATTTATTATAATTATTTATTTATTATTATAATTTCATTTTTTTACGAGATAAAGAAACGAAAACTAAACATAAAATAATACAAAAGTATAGTATAGTCAAAAGAAATGAATTAAATAACAGAAGCACAACTACACCGAAGTGGTCAACCTACGATACTCGTAGATATATTCAACAAAATTATACAACATTATTGCAGTGGTCAGCAATAGAGGCATTGATGCATGCACATTACTGCAGCGGTCAGCAATAGAGGCATTGATGCACGCACATTACTGCAGCGGTCAGCGACAAAGGCATTGATGCACGCACATTACTGCATCGATCAGCAATAGAGACATTGATGTACGCACATTACTGCAGCGGTCAGCAATAGAGGCATTGATGCACGCACATTACTGCATCGATCAGCAATAGAGGCATTGATGCACGTACATTACTGCATCGATCAGCAATAGAGGCATTGATGCACGCACATTACTGCAGCGGTCAGCAATAGAGGCATTGATGCACGCACATTACTGCATCGATCAGCAATAGAGGCATTGATGCACGCACATTACTGCACCGGTCAGCAATAGAGGCATTGATGCACGCACATTACTGCATCGATCAGCAATAGAGGCATTGATGCACGCACATTACTGCTGCGGTCAGCAATAGAGACATTGATGCACGCACATTACTGCTGCCGTCAGCAATAGAGACACTGCACGCACGTAAGTCCATCAATGCTTAGTTGTGGCCAAGGCTTGTATAGTATTTTTCTCAAACATGCTATCTATCTATCTACTATATATTGCTAGTCCTATGAACACTGGAAGGCATTTCTTTCGAAGGAAATCTTGGTGAGCGTAGAAAGTCTTGTCGTGAACAATAAATAAATATTTCCAACACTCACACCAATTAGCCTAGTCCCAAAGTAAGCACTATAAGGCTTGTGTTCTGGGATACTAGGGTAATGAGAATATATATACTATGCTTAAACACATAAGTATATTTTTATAGAAATACATATTAAACATTCATGACTGCGGTACAAATGCTCGTATTCATCACACAAACATCGCCCCCCACGAGTTTGAACCCGGGACCTCTCGAGTCCGCGAACCATGAAACCCGGCGTACAAACCACTCGGCCACGGAGGTCGTCCAAACAAGAATTTAAATGGCAAAATTTTCTTATGATTAGAGATAATGTTTTAGCTATGATAGCTCGTGTAAGGGATGAATAATGTGTATAAGAATAAAAACCACCATTTGGGCAGAGTCAATTTTATTAACAGTGAATCGTATTTTTAGTATCACATTGATATTAAGTGCCCCAAACATAATCATTAAATAATTAAATAAATTTTGGAAATAAATATATCAGTAATTATAGAATAATTTATTTACAATAAACACAGTCAATAAAAACAAATTCAGAGCTCCATTTGTAAACTTGATATTTTGCATCGATTTGCGAGTAATTATTTCGCTTATCTGTAAGCTTAATTATATTATGATCAAAGTCCAACCCACGATTGTTTGTATGGCACCGACTTGAAACATTTCTCTTTTTTTATTATTTTGTTTTTATGTAGTCCATTTTCTTATCTTTAAATTTCGCTCTGAAATTGAGTATTCTTATATTTCAACTCCAGATGTAACATGCATATCAGCACTTTTCTTCATATTCTCTATAAATTTTCTGCTTCTTTTTGTTTTTTCAAAGCTTTCAGCTCCTCTGTAACAAAGATTTTTCAAAATAAGTTCTATTTTCGTAACGATGGTGGCAACAGTAACGTCTAAACTGCACAAGGTGAATTGTCTCCGTTATTTTTTTTATATAAGATTGCATATTACCCCACTATTTCGTTTATTAAGTGTAAGTTGAGTCCGATCGTGGAGACGGCTGATGTATCAGAAGAGTATGCCACTCCAACCACAAATAAAAATAATATTTCTAACACCCACACCGATAAGCTCATCCCCAAAGTAACCACTGTAAGTCTTGTGTTATAGAAAAATAAAGTAACTGATAGAAATACGTATAATGATAGATAGTTAAGTATATTTTTAAATTTAAAGTATAGTTGCCGAAATATAATGTAATTAAATGCACTAGTGACTGTACCTTTTTTTTATACGCAGGCGAAAAATACCACTTACATACGACGGCGCCTTTAAGAGACACACCGCCGAACGGACCTCACACCTGGCTTACGAGCCCCGCAAGCCTTACGAGCCCCAGCAGTGGCTGCCCACTGAGGACCCCGTAATCCTTACGGGCGCTTTACGGCATAATATCCGCTAAAAAACCCTGCGAACACCCTCTAAGCTGCTTAGCGCGAAGCCGCGGGATCCCCGTTTAGGGATTGTTCCGCGTCTTCGCACCTAGCAGCCTACCTAGCAGCTTATTTCATCCCGGAGTATCACGGGGACCCCGCAGACGTGCGCAGGATGGGGGCGCGTGGGGGCTGAGCTGCGGAGCGCTACTTGGGCGTGCCCGTGTAGCTCCCTCCGCCGCCCCCCTCTTTGCAGGACATAACTGCAAGGGGGGGCACTAGTGACTGTACCTGGATCACCACTCTTCTTGTCGCAGTAGTCAGAGTCATTCCACTCCTGCCGTTCGGAGCTGGCGAAGCAGAGGTAAATAATGTTTCCACCAGCAGAGATGACTGCCGTCATTAGGAAAACCAGGCGCCAGCGGCTAACGTCTGTCTACAAAGAAATAATCTGTTAATTTTCGCCACCCGTTCTGTGACAGAAAAAATAGAAATGAATAACTCGCTCAAGCACAAATTTATAACTTGCTTCCAAACAGCCCTCCGATATCGATTGCCAAAAGTGGCGATCGTGCTCTGCAGTGATTATATTCGGACACATTTTTATTACGAGCTGCTCTTAGGTTCGAAAGGCATCCTGCGCGGCCATTCGGAGACGGGTTCTGCGACCACACCCGCCCTTTCGGCACGCAGTAGGGGGACCGCGGTCCTCATAGTGCATGTCGGGTGACGGTGCAGGAGTATTGTCTGGTTTTTAGTGGCCCTGTTCAGGGCGTAGGTAGGGCCCTGTTCACATCAGCGAGCTCCAGGGATGGCTGAAGAGGACAGGGAGGAGTCCCACATACCTTCTTCTCGCTCCCCCAGTGGTTGAAGGATGCGTAAGGCATTTTCCAGACAAAAAAAAATCCAAAGGCATTATTTTTCAGGCAAAAAAAAATGTTCGAAAGGCATCTAGGCGGGTGCGCGGCCAATCCTCTTATACGGCGCCACGTTATAGCCGCACTCGGCATGCATTATGGGAACTTCAGTCCTCACAGTGCGTCTCGGGTGACCGAAGCATGAGTATTATCTGGTTTTTACTGGGTATGGCTCTGCTTATTTCATCGACCGTCCTAGTTAGGTGATATGAGCAGGAAGGAGTCCGCATATAGGTCTTGCTTCTCTTGGTGGGTTTAAAATGCGTAAGGCATTTTCCAGACATATAAAAAAGGTAAATTTAAAAAATCAAAAAACCCGACTGCTTCATTATACTCCAAATAAAAACTGAAAAGAAAAAAACAAGTCCAGTAGTCTATAATTCTGTTAATAAGGAACAAAGCTACTTTAACAGTCGGGACCCATTATTGAAAAATATTATGTATTCTTGAATATCTAATGGGTCCCGGCTGTTAAAGTAGCTTTGTTCCTTTTAAATACAACTTTAAAGCGTTGTAGATCCTAAACAATTATATAAAATGAAAAATGTTCTTAGGAACCTAAACATGATTTTTGATTATCTAGACAGTAATACCCCATTCGACATATTTTGTCAACTTATTATTTTTCTTCGTCACAATATGGCGCCTAATTTTGCCCATATTAAATTTTGATTACTATCATATTAGTAGTTTAGTAGCACTCCCATGATTGAGACGAATCAATTGATGTATGAATCATCAAAATCGGTCCAGGTGTTTGGTCTCTAGTGTGTCACAAAGGAACAAACATACATATATAGACTGTTAAACACTATACCCTGTCTGCGCGTCGCGCTTCGCGCTCTTGGATTGCGCAGTCGGGTAAAAAGGCAAGTTAAGCTGTTGCACCCGGTAGCATCAGTAGTAGATAAAACACATTAACTCGGACTAGGCTGCGTGGTAGGTTATAACCAGTTCTCCCTATCCTATCGATACAGTGAGAACCTAGTTCTACCTACAACGTGCAGTTCTGTTAAAATTGATTAATAAAGGATTATTAACGATAAAGTACTCACTGGGTTGTTGCGCAATATGACACTTGTTATAATTGGCATTAGGATGCTGCAGATATTCGCCGCGAAGTTGGTGAGTGACAGCAGCACTCCAGCAAAATTAGGCGACAAGTCCAAGCCATTGACCTAACATAAAAGTAAACCTTTTTTTAAATTGAGAAGAGTGGTAATTCTATACCTCGTCCCACAATTAGCAATTATCATGACATATATGGTTAGGATTCTAGAGACTATCACTAAGTCCATGAAAATTATATTAAAATGCGTAAAAAAATCACTAACCATAAACCCAGAAACCGTGAAGCCACACATGGTGTTAGTGATGACGATGGCCAGAATAGCTAAACTTTTGTTCTCGGGACCCAGGAATGACAGGGCCACCAGTCCACCAGCGATACCAAACATTGCTGTGTGAAAACAAAAATAGACATGTTACATCATCAACGTTATCAGCATTATAATAAATGTCTCCAATGGTGGACGACAAGGTTTCCCTATGGATGACATAAAGAGATTGGGCGACTACCCACCATGCGGACACAGTGCGAATTGATGAATGCTAACGACTGAAAATGCAGCCGAGACCACATACTTGACGTGTATTTTGAAGCATCTCTGCGAGCTCTTTGATCACTCATTCGATCTCCTGTCATTGCGTGAGTTGCTTCACTTCCACGGTCGTAGACCGGAGCCGCGAACTCGCCATCGTTCTCCCCCGAGTAGAATGAATGCTGGCAGAAGTTTTAAGATTTCAAAATCATATTGAGGACAAGGTAAACTTGGTCAGAGTCCCTGAGCAATGCGCAAACAAGTTAACACAACGACGCTACATTTCGCATTTGCAATAGCTTCCGAATATGCCTTGACTCTTGAAAAACTTTGACTATCTGGACTAAAAAAATGATGTGCTGCATTCTATGAGTTTTCTTTTTCCCCGTCCAGCATAAGGATTAGATACTGTGCTTTAACAGATATAAAATCAATTGAGTTATTTAGGGGATTGTTACCATGTACCTTGTTTTTAGTGAGTTTCCGATATTTCGGCACTGTTGCAAGCGCCATGATCACGCTGAAATATCGGAAACTCGCTAAAAACAAGTTACATGGTAACAATCCCGTAAATAACTTATATTACCATAATTTTAGTGACCACGAAAGTTTAAAACAATATTAAATCAATTGAGTTATATCCTCACCCAAGGAATTGAAAAGCTTTCTACATGCAGTAACAGATAAGAGCTTCCTATTCAGCAGCTTCTCAGCGACGAGTGATGAGCCCACGTTACCGATCCACATGCCCACATATGGTAACGCCGACAATACTGCGCTCTGAAATAGAAACAGCATATTTCATTGATAACAGTGACACTACAAACATCACTTTTATTTAAACTTAAACGTAAGGAAACAGTTATTGACGTCGTGAACAGTTGTATCTCTGATGTAGTCCACTGGTTTAATATTAATAATTTATTACTAAATGAAGGAAAAACGAAATGTATGAAATTTGTATTACCTAATGTAAAACAGTTAAAATCCAATGTGAATGTAAAGGATAGGAATATGGGCCTTGTAGACACCACAGTATTCTTAGGGATAACTTTAGATTCTAAGCTTCAATGGTACCCGCATATTGATAAATTGTTAAATAGACTTAGCTCTGCAGCATATGCCGTAATGAAGATACGCCAGTTAACGGATGTAAATACGGCCAGATTAGTGTACTTTAGTTATTTCCATAATGTCGTACGGAATTTTAATGTGGGGAAACGCCGCCGATATTCAAACTATTTTTGTGCTGCAGAAGAGAGCTATTCGACCAATTTATAATCTTAAAGTTAAGGATTCCTTAAGAGATAGGTTTAAAGAATTTGGTATAATGACGGTCGCATCACAATACATTTACGAAAATTTATTACTTGTAAGAAAAAATATTAATTTGTTTCTTAAAAACAGTGATGTTCACACACTTAATACAAGAAACAAAAATAAACTAACTTTACCTGCTACTAGGCTTCACAAAATCAATAATTCCTTTAAAGGTCTTTGTGTTCGCTTATACAATAAAGTCCCAAGCAATATCCAAGAGTTAAGCATAAATAAATTCAAAGATAGTATAAAAAAAGCACTTATTAAAAAAGCTTATTACAAAGTGTCTGATCATATTACAGACAAAAATGCTTGGGTTTGAACTGTTCCAATCATTCCAACAGGTTTTCTATATTAAATAAATCATGATTGTATTGACGTTGTAACAACATAATGATTTGTAAATGTTGTTACATTATGCTTTTAATGTTGTGGAGATTTTTTCGCTCGTTTTTCTCCGCAACTAAAAAATATATGTCCAATAACGAGTGGTAGGGAAAAAAATGTTTGGACGATTCAAAAGTGTTGTACTATACATCCAATTTGAATAAAGATATATTGATTTCTGATTTCTGACTAGAAATTGAGGAGATCGATGGTGGTGACTGGCTTATTCGGATTGCAATCGTAAAAGTAATATTCGGAATTACTGGAAGGTTAGTATGCAAAAAACTACTAGATTTTATATTGAAAAGAATAAAACGAAGACGGAAGAACATTACTTTTTTGTTAATTTGGTGAGTAAGGATTTCAGTACTCCACGAGGCGAGATAGACGATTTGATCACGGTCGGCAAAGCGTGAATGATACTCAGATGTAGCAAGCACCTATAGGCAATAATAAGGTATCCATCAGGCAGATTACTGCTTGTTTGAAACCCTTCTTAAATATAAAAAAGGCTTCATACAAAAAAATAATACTTACATTCTTGAGGGATATCTGTAAACCTTTCTCCAGATACGTTGGCATATCCACAAAGAACAAAACGAAGCTGCAGGTACAAGCCACGTGGGTCGCCATAATAGCGTATAGTGGTACTGAAGTTAAAATCCGTCTCCAAGGAGTAGACATTGACTTCTGCAAAAATAATATATTCTTCTCAAACATAAAGTATTAATTTCACAACCTTCTTCGAGATAAATCAAAATGGCTGATTGATTTTTTACAATACTACGTAATATTTTAATGACTACATGCCCGTAACTTAATATTTTAACTGCTGTAATAGCGCCACCAACTATATTCATCATTAACTGTGCTTGTTGTACAAAACGTAAGTGTGATCCTGCGTGGAATATTGCTCGCACCTCTGGGATGGCTCCGCCAAGTACTTGCTCGATGCTTTGGATAGGTTACAGCGGCGCGCGATCCGCGTCATAGGCGATGAAGAGATGACTAAACACCGTGAGCCTCTTCAATTACGCCGTGACATGGCGTCACTAAGCTCGTTCTATCGTCTGTCTGCGAGTGTTCTGAGGAGTTATTCTCTCTTATCCCACCTTCCCCTTTCCTTCAGAGGACCACGCGCGCTGGCCTACATTGTCACCGTCTTACTGTGGCCACAATTCCAACGCGTAGAAAGAAATTTGGTGACTCATTTCTTTGTCGCACTATCCGTAAATGGAATGCTCTGCGAGCTCACGTGTTCCCTCCCTCTTACAACCTGGGATCCTTTAAAAGAGGCGTGAAGAAGCAACATGCAGGCCGGCAGGGTGAGGATGGCTGGTGTAGTAGGTAGAACTGCTGTATCAGCTATCTTCGCGTCTCGACTTCACTTTCACTTAACATCAGGTGGGGTGGAGTCATTTGTTGGACCTACCTATAAAAAAAATCGTATCTGTACTCTACCACTACTTAACATCGAGTGGAATGGAGTCATTTGCCTGCCTAACTATAAAAATGTAACCCTGTCTTTTTCTAGCATTGTGTTTCTGTCGGCAAGGAACGTTTTCTGAGCTCCTAAAAGTAGAACAGAGCAATAAACGCACAAGTATTTAGTTCTATCGTAACGTATTATCGAGCGACGTGTCTATAATAGACACTAGACGATAGCTTGACTGGCGATTTTTGACTCGAATAAAAGTGGTTGTCGGAGGCGATACATTTGTTCGTGCAGCTGAAGAAGCGTACTTACGATAAAACGAATTCAAATTACGAATGCAACGTATTAGTAAACAATATACTTAACCTGCGATCCACCACTGTGTAAAGAGGTCTCTATATACTGTCGCTCCTCCTTGCTGATCATCCTGTGCTCTGCAGGAGAGCTGGCTGCGAACCAGTACCATACTGCAGCATTTAAGAAGAGGAGTCCAGACATCACGTAGAAGTTCAGCTTCCAGCCAACAGCCGTTTCCGCTAGTAGTCCAGACAGGGGCATGGCAATGATGATACCAACTTGCATACCTGTTGATATTTTAAATTATTTTTTTATCTAAAGAAAAGTTTACTAGAAAATCCACGCCCACCAGGCAGCGGACGGGACTCTAACCCGCACCCTTCGCAATCCGGGCGAATGCACTGACCATTATGTTACCACGGCCCTATTGGCCGCGTCGAAATTTTCCTAGCCTTAAGCTGCAAGGCAGCGCCATCTCTTCGCACTGTAGGCAACCCACAATACTCTCACAATACTCTAGTAATTTTTTCGTTAGATTTAAACATCTAGCAGTTAAATGCTTAAAAATAAATAAAAACATTATTTTTTTATGTTCTTGTTGTGGATTACTCACACGTAAAAGTTAAATCCAAACCAAATAGAGCTTGCATTATGTACAGTATATTTATACTACTTTGAGGGTTTAAGTTTTTTTGTGTAGTAACATTATAGTTGAATTTCGAATGTGAAAATTCGAACTTCCCTTTGTGACTGATGTATCATTCATCATCAACAGCCTTTCTTAGTCCACTGCTGGACATAGGCCTCTCCAATTGCACGCCACTCAGATCGATCTTGGGCTACTCGCATCCAGCTCCTGCCAGCCAGCTTGCGCAAATCGTCACTCCATCGCGCCTGAGGACGCCTACACTACGTTTGCCTAGACGCGGTCTCCACTCCAGAACTCGTCTACCCCAACGGTTATCGGTTCTTCGATAAATATGGCCAGCCCACTGCCACTTCAACTTGCTAATCCGGTGGGCTATGTCGATAACTCTGGTTCTCTGCCGGATTACCTCATTTCTGATGAGATCCTTCAGAGAAACGCCGAGCTTAGATTACCATAGTTTAATTCCAAAACTTCATGTTTTATATAATCTGAGATAACAGCTTCTAAAAATAGCACCATTTAGAAGTTTCACATGTTAGAAGCTTAAGCAATTTTCGCAATGATCGCTATTCCGTGCTTCAGAAGGCACGATAAGCCGTTTATCCCGGGTGCATCTAGAGTCGTTAGCACCCACCGATCCACACTATGATCGCGTGCATCTTGTCACGTGGATTACGGTTCAATCTCCCTATTCCTTAGCAGTGAGGAAATCAAAAAATCAAATGAAATTGCGATGCCGCTTTTGGTTTCATGACTGGGTTATTGATTTTATCTTATATATTAACTTATAACTTGTGTATGAAATCCACAATATAATACATACATTGATGCTATTGAAAGAATTCAACACAAATTTGTAAAGTACTTAGAAAACAGATACTTAACTTGATTATTAATGATTGTGAAGCAATGTTACAGGTTACATCCTTGCAACATCGCAGAACTATTAGAGATCAATTATTTCATTACAAACTTATTAATGACCTTGTAGATTCACCGTTCCTTTTGCAGAGGATTGGTTTCCGTTGTCCAAATAGAACTTGGTCTGATAACACGTTTGTAAAACAATTCAGCAGGACCAAGTTTGCTGCAAATAGTTTCATTTCTAGAGCATGTCACAGCTACAATAAATACTTCAGGGGATTGGATATATTTTGCCTTTCTTATAATCAATTTAGAAATGAATGCTTTAAGGTCGTTTCATCCTAACACTTAGTAATTATTTTCTTTCATTCACATAACTAAATATTTTACGTAATCTTAAGTAAATTATGTAAGTGTATGATTGTTAAAAAGTAATAAGTGTTACTTAATTGAATTGTGTAAAACTGTATGTTTCGCAAATGAAAATAAATAACTAAGATTGTAATAAACACTCGTACTCTTCTGCTACAAATGCTCTTGAATTCAATCTTTATTAAGTAACTCAAGAAGCATGAGGATCGATCCTATAGCAGAAATTGGTAGCCTGAATCGGATATCAGTCGCAGCAGTATTAAATGTACCTATATAGATCTGAATAAACCAGTAAGTCAAACGCAGAAATTTCAAAAATCAACAAAGAAGTTAATTCTCTTTAGAACAGTTATTATTCTCGCAGACAAAATTCCAGGCTCACTTCACCTCGCTTAAGCTAGAACAATTAATGCTAAATGGTTAATAAATATTTCAACATTAATTTCAGTATTGTTTTGTTGTGAATTCCAAGATTGTTGCCGGATCGAAAGAATTCAGATCAAAAATAAAATAAAATTACTTAATTATTTCCAAGATTCGAATAAGTTAAGCGAAATACAAACACAGCTGCTAGATTTGTTTTCAGCTCAAAGAGAAACTTATTTCATTCGACATTCACAACAATCCTGTTTAAACATTAGTTTGAACAGTTATTGATGTTAATTGTAAGTAAAGAGCTAAGATCACTACAACGAATAATGGAAGTTGGTCATGAAAATTCACTTATTGCCTATTAGGCATTAGGTTTCCAATAAGTTATTAAATATTTTTAGGGGGACGAGGTTTGCGGCAATGCTGGCGGATGAGGGAGGTTGGAAGGCTGCGGCCTTCTTCTGTGAAGCGGGGATGCTCCAGAAGGAGGCCGCCCAGCGGGATCGGGAGATGGTCGATCCTGCTCGAAGGAGGCGGCGTCGGGCCAGATAATGGCCTGATGCGTCACTGGTGAGCACGACGGCGCTTGTGCTCATGGAAGCGACCTGGGAGGGACGACACCCCAGCATAGCCGGAGGGTGTCGTCGTAGGAGAGTGGGCGGGGGAGGTTGCGAACACTCCCACGAGAAGGGCTCCCCTGGTGGAAGCAGGGGAGCAAAGGTTGCGGGGCCTGAGATACGATACTCGATCCTGAGGCCCCATACAGTGCCTAATGGCGGCCATCGCTGGGGTTTTAGTGGGTAGGACTCCCCCATCTGGGGAGGAGAGCCCCAATTAACCAACATGTGGTATGCATTTCACCAGCGTACCAAAAAAAAGGGGGGGGGGACGAGGTTGAAGAGCCAATGGTTTAGGTGGTTCGGCATGCGATCGTGTAAGTTAAGCAACTGACTCAATGGCCAATTTGGATGGGTGATCACAAACTTATCATCTCAATCTCTCCCAAGCTTCTGAAGGTCCGTTAATCCGTTTGTCTTGGCTGCGTATTCAGTCGTTAGCAACAACCAATCCACACCAAGTTCGCTTAGTGGGACATCGCCATTTTCCCTTATGCCACCCATAAGGAAGGCGTGTGCCCCAGCAGTAGGAACAATAACAGGCTGATGATTTGGAAAATGCTCTTAGTATTTTTTATAAAAAGAGTGTTGTATCAACTCTTTTTTTACAGCGACCTACAAATGTTTTAAAATACTAATATTTTTAATGTTTTAATTTACACTACTCGAAACTTAACTATTACTAGCGGCCCGCCCTCGCTTCGCTTCGGTGTAGAGCTGAAGTGTAGACTACAGTTTTCGTTCTCACGCTTGTATTATACACAATGACATTCATCTATGATTCTTCTTATACCTGCATGCAAACTCTCAGCCCGATCGGTTTAAAATTGACAAAGTTTCGTAAAGCTTTCATTCCCTATTTTATCCCCTTGGGGGTACTACTTTTTTATTTTTTTTTTAAATCAGATTTTGGTGAACATTTGGTTCACTGGTTTGCTAGTATGTTATAGTATTGTGAGAGACTGGTGCCTACACAATGAAAAAAGTTTTTAAGGAAACGAAATGTATTTGTCGGCGAATGGCATCTCACTCGCTCCTTCGACACGTTTTATACCGACAACAAATGTCATCAGTCAGTGTACCATTGCCTTGTGAAACGTCAAGTAATGACAGTGACAGCTGTCATCACTTGGGAGTGGTCTATTCTAAGGGTAGTATTTAATACCTCGTTAACATGCAGCGCGAGTAAGGAGGGAAGTGGGCATGACGAGTATATAAACACGATACTCGACCCGGCGCTCCCATCATCCCCCTCTCGGGGGTTGTTCGCTTCAGATGAAGCTTGTAAGGCCCTTCTGGCCATAAGCATGAATAAAGGGTGTTTTTTAGTCAGTAAGAGTCTGACATAACCTTACAGCCGGCTGTAGGGTATCCATGAGGATTTCTCACCCTCTCCCCCGCCTGGGAGGAAACAAAAAAAAAAAAAAACCCGGCGCTCATCAAAAGAGCGGTTTTTTGTGCGGAATTCAAAGGACCGGCAGCGCGAGTGGCAATGCGTGTTCACACTCTGCGCGTCGCTTAGTTTTTTTTTTATTTATTTATTTAATCAAGCAATATTACAATTATAATACATATTATAGTGCAAACAAAAACCACATAGGTTTATTCGTGCACTACATTCACCGCTGTACATCTAGTTACAATAAATACATATAGGTTTTCACACTGTAGTAACTATTATTAAATAACAATATTTTATAAAATATGTGGGTATGTTGGAAATAGTAAACACTTGGGTAAGTTTTTTTTTTCATGCTAGCATACAAGTCGAAGTGCAGTTATCCTAGATAAAGGATGCTCCAATTGTAATGATAAATATGACTTTGTTTTTAATGTTTTTATTTTAAGTTCGTTGTAACGGTTATTTTAAATGAATTATTCTTAAGTTATTGATAAAGTGACTTTTTAATTTGCGTTTTATGTTTCCTTTTTTTAGTGCGTTTTTTATTTCAAATGGTAACTTGTTTACTAAATTTGGAACAATGAATTGTAATGTTCGTTGCCCATATAGGTTATTTGATTTTGGAATGAATAATTTATTATTTGCAACGCCTCGAGTTAACTTACTATGAGATGAAACCTTTTGAATATCAGTATTGAAGAATTGTTCTGTTAAGATGTTATATTTAAATTTCTCCTGAACCGGCATCAATGAGCAGTAAGAGAACAATACGTGATAATTGTTTTTATACTCCTCCCTCACTTTACGAGGGACAATGGTTTTTAAAATGCGCATTTGGAGTTCATAGATGCGATGTAAATGTGATTTAGCAGTACGTCCATAACTACTCAATCCATAAGAAATTATCGATTCCCCCAGTGATTTATATAAATATAACAATATAGGATAAGGAATTTTATGTTTAAGTATAGAAAACTTTGCAAGAAGTGCTCGTAATTTATCACACACGTGTTGAATATGATCGGCCCATGTCAACCGATCGTCAATGATTAGCCCGAGGTAGGTTTGATTTTTTACAACTTTCAGTGCGTCGCAACAGCAATTAGTGTTAAAGTTATTGGTATGCAAGCAATTATGATTATGTGATACGAGTACTGTAGGAGTTTCTTTTTGACTAGTGCTAATATACATAACTTTCGTTTTACTGTCATTTAATACGAGTCCGTTATCATGGGACCATTTACAAAGTAGTGTAAAGTCAGTTTGCAACTTTTTAAGCGCCATGTTAACATCAGGGTCAGCAGCAAGTAAATAGGTATCGTCAGCAAATTGGTACATTTCGCAAGTTTTAATGACGTTTGTAAGATTATTCACATAAGTAATGTAGTGTAAGGGTCCTAATACTGATCCTTGTGCTGTCCCTTCCGCCAAATGAATTTTATTACTTATTGCATCATCCACCTTCACCGAGTATGTTCGGTTTTGTAAGTAATTTTTACACCATTCCAATAAAGAACCACGTATCCCACTTTCCTCCAAACTATCAGCGAGCATATCGTGACGAAGTGTATCGAACGCTTTGGAGTAATCAATAAATACAATGATAACGTGTCGTTTGCTATCTATATGTTTATTAACAGAATCTGTAAAGTCAGAAAGTAGATGTGAAGTATTTTTTCCGGGTTGAAAGCCACACTGTCTTTGTGAAATTATATTATTTTAATTAAAAAACGTATATACGTTACCAATATATTTTTCAACAATTTTGTCAATTGTGGGGAGGATCGTGATAGGCCTATAATTTTCATAGTCTTTATGACTGCCCTTTTTATATATCGGTCGAACTATTCCTGATTTTAACTGGTCGGGATACTTTCCTGTGACTATGCTAGCGTTAATGAGCTTGGAAATAGCTGTGGTTATTTTATCACCTATGCTTTTTATATCGATTGCCCTTATGCCATCAGATCCTGGTGCTTTATTTTTATTCAGTTTTTTTATAATATTATGTACATTATCTAATCGTGCTTTTTGATATTTTATTGTGACATTTTTGGGCATACTATTCGTTGATCTATGTAATAATCGAACATTACAATGTGAGTTCGCGCAACATAAAGAAAATAAAAAATAAATAATAAGAAAGTAAATAGATAACATCCACCATCTTCTACGACGAACTTTCTTTTTTTGTACTTGATATATTTTTAAATTTCGAACATAATTAAGAACACAATTACTTCGGCGTCTGCCATTGCCGAAAATCTGAAGCGAAGTGAGAGGTAGGGCAGTATGTAAACACATACTTCTCTCAATCATGCCGCAGCAATATTTAGGGAATTATTGCCGGCAACGCGAGGGGCAGCGGCATGGGCATAGTCTGGTATAAGGGGCTATGTTTCATTGGAAGGGGCATTCAGCATTCAGACGTGAGCTGCGATAGTGAACGGACGTTAGCACAGAACTCTCCACGCTTCGCAAAGCAATCCGATTGTACCTTTGCAATCATTGCTGATTTTGTAAAGTGATTAGAAGATGTTTTTATTAATTTTTTAAGCATTTAACTGCTAGATGTTTAAATCTAAAGATCCGCTGCCTGGTCCGCGTGCATTTGATTAGAAGATTTCAAATTAAACGTTAGCTTGGTCACTAGACTAGTTTTATTTTCGGGACATATCATTGAATAACCAAGAAGGCGGATCAAGACGAACCACGTGGACAACCGCTTAACCCGCTCGCCCATCCGACATCTTTATAACTACTGTATTGAAACCGTACCATCTAGCTCTCGATTCTCTCTGCTTCTTCACTTTCAACATGGTGCAGTGATGACATTGTGAAATGACAAATAAATAAAAAAGAAGTATAATCCAGTTGAAAAGGTTACTGCAGTAGGGGTACCGTTCTAAGTAAATGCACTGACTTTTGAACTTATTCATGGTAAAAATAACTAGAAAAAAGTCCACGCGGACCAGGCAGCAGACGGGACTCGAACCCTCACCCTTCGCAATCCGGGCGAATGCACTGACCAATTATGCTACCGCGGCCCTCACGGACCGAAATTCTTCTAGCCATTCTTAAGCTACAAGGCTGCGCCATCTCTTCGCATTATAGGTAACCCACAATGTCAAATGAATAATAATTGATCAGTGCATTCGCCCGGATTGCGAAGGGTGCGGGTTCGAGTACCGTCTGCTGCCTGGTCCGCGTGGAATTTTTCCTAGTTATATTTTCTCTAGATTTAAACATCAAGCAGTTAAATGCTTTAAAAATAATAAAAATTATAATTATTCATGGTATTTAAGTATAATGTTAATGTTGCTACCAAGGTAAAAAACCATATATATACGCACTCATACGTACGTAAGGATTTGCGGTCATTTGCGGAAATACGTCACGAAAAATAAATAAACTATCGTAACCTCCATAGATGAGTCCAGAAATGCCGGTGCGCTCTTTGGGCGGGAACCACTGGCCGAGCAGCGTATGACTGGCTGGATACAGGCAGGCTTGGGACAGGCCCATCATTACTCGAGCGAAGCACACACACATCCAACCACCCTGGACAAAAATGTAATTTGTTAGTTTCATATCTATATATATATATAAAACTCAAAGACTGACATAGTGATCTATCAACGCATAGCCCATACCACTGGACGGATCGGGCTGATATTTGGCATGCAGGTAGATGTTATTACGTAGGCATCCGCTAAGAAAGGATTTTGATCAATTCTACCTCCAAGGGGATAAAATAGGGAATGAAAGTTTGTATGAAACTTTGTCAACTTTAAACCGATCGGGCTGAGACATTGCATGCAGGTATAAGAAGAATAATAGATGAATGTCATTGTGTATAATACAAGCCTGAGAACAAAAACTGTAGTCTAAATTTCAGCTCTATACCGAAGCGAAGCGAGGGCAGGCCGCTAGTTACTGAAATAGCTCGTATAGAAAAAATACAAAATACATTTTTAAAGTCACTAGAATATCGAACCGGAAACAATTTCGTAGATTACCAAACTGCATCACAAAGGCACAAAATAAGTTCATTAGAAAAAAGAAGCACTTATTTGGATCAAATTTTTCTATACAAAATTATTAACAAAAGAATAAACTCGGTCCCTTTATTAGAACTGATTAAATTTAAAATACCACGAGCCTCATCACGATCCAAATGTATATTTTATATTTCACCTTCTCATACTAATTATGCTGGAAATACTTTCATGTGGCGAGCTTGTGGGTATTACAATGGTTTTTTGAAAGATGAAGATGTGTTTTTTCTATCTTTGAATATGTATAAAAAATTGGTGGGCGAACATGTAATGCGATGAGCGAGGGGTCGGAGTATTGGTCTGTTGAGTGAGAGACCAGCACCTGTGTTGGTAATTGATACTGCGGATTTTTTTTTTTTAATAATAATAATTTATTGGAACCACTTTACATTTTAGTACATGATAATGTGAACCATGTCCTCTGGAAAAGGTTACCCTGAGGACCAGAAGACAGTGCTCTCCCCACTATTGTTACTACAATACCAGCTACAATAATTTAATACTACTAAATAAAAATTATATAAAAATAATCTTAAAAAAAAAAAGTACCTAGGTATAGCATTAACCGACGGCAGTAGCCGACTTCTGCGAGGACGTGATGACGCGGAAGGAGGCGGCGGAAAGAATTCGGGAGGAGGATCCCCTCGCTGACCCGACTCGAAGGCGGAGATTAGGCAGGCGGAGGCGGCTTTATGGCCTGCAAGCTCAACCGCCCTAGTCACGGACGCTGGGGGCCAGGTGGGGGTCTGGCCCCTGTAAGCGACGTCCGATGACTGAGAGGTGTCTTCTTCACCGCGGATACCTCTGCGCACAGATGGGTCCCCAACGGGACAGACTATTAGCCGCGGCTCGCGATGGTGTGCGCTGAGTATTTACCCCGGCCGCGACTATCACTAATAGTCAAGTGGTGAACCGTCAGTTTTTAGTGGGTAGGCCCTTCCAGTCCAGGTCGATTAGCGATCTGGATTGCACTCTGGGGGGGAGAGTCCCACATAACCACAGGGTCAACCCCTTACACTGGCTCTGTGGTATGCGTAAAGCATTTTCTGACGTTATAAAAAAAAAAAAAAAAGGTATAGCATTAACCGGTGTGTGTTGTGTGTGTGTGTGTTGTGTGTGTTGTGTGTGTGTGTGTGTGTTAGTGTGTATGTATATGTACCTGCGTTCGTGTTGTGTAGCGTATGTGCATTTGTTTTAATTTGATTGGGGGTTTGTCCTTTCGTTTATTGCTTTATACCTCTATCATTTGGCTCAAAAGTTGTACTGAATTTCTTTTCTATAGTATGGTGTTATTCCACTGCCATAAAGTTCATTATTATATAAGTTAGTTCATGTGTTACGGAATGTTAGGTCAAATTGTTATCATGAAATTGTTCATGTTATTATGTACCACCCTCATCATGCCCACCCTCACTTCGCTTCGGTGTAGAGCTGTAGTGTAAACTATAGTTTTTGTTCTCAGGCTTGTGCTATAAAGAATGACTTTATTTATATAATTACACGTGTTATTGTGAGTCAACCATAAAAGATAGACATATGCTGTTGCAAGATATTTTTTAGACAATTTTATGTAGAATATTTCCGTCATACATGATTTCTATGTAACTTTAACCATTAAGGCTGCACCCGCGACGGAAGCTTAAAAAATGGTGTAACTTCTCCCGTTTTCCCAACATTTCCCTTCACTTCTCTGCTGCTATTGATTGTAGCGTGATGAAAAGTATACTATAACCTGCCCAGGAGTATGAAGAATAATTGTACCAAGTTTCGTTAAAATCCGTTGAGTAGTTTTTGTTTCTATAAGGAACATACACACAGACAGACAGACAAAAAATTTACTAATTGCATTTTTGGCATCATTATCGATCACTAATCACCCCCTGATAGTTATTTTAAAAATATATTTCATGTACAGAATTGACATCTCTACAGATTTATTATAAGTATAGATGACTGTTTGTCCCTTAATAAATAAAAAAAATACTATGACAAACAACTATACACATTTTGAGAAGCAGATGGCGCAAGCAGCTCAATATGACTGAACTGATACACAAAATCAGTTCAATACAGAAACCTAATAGTATGTCTTTATCATGCTTTAGAGAGAATAAAAAGGGAAGACTTAATAACGAATAAAATGTATAGAGAAAAACGTCAGAATCAGGCCCGATGACTTAGTGATTGGCGCTGTATTTTTGCGGTCGTGGAGGTAAAGCAATTCTGAAACAGCAAACCATTGTAGAGCTCAATGTCGCTTGTGGGGTAGGGGATAGGGTCGGCAACGGTGCGTATGATATTTTTGATATCGTGTCTCTAGGCTATGGTGGCTGCTTACCATCAACGGGCCCAACGCGTGTTTGCAACCCTTATAACTTAGAAATAAGTGGTTAGCGCGTCGGGTTGCGATCGTTGAAGTTAAGCAAATTTCGCAGTCGTCGGTCATTGAATGGGTGACCAACAGTTTACTGTCTCGAGCTCCTCTGTGCTTCTGAAGGCACGTTAAGCCGCTGGTCCCGGCTGTATCTGCAGTCGTTATTGACGCCGGGCCCGCGTGTTGAGTTATGGCATTGTCTCCCTAACCTATCCATAGGAAAGGCCTGTGCTAATGATGATGATGAAATCATATGATCAATGACCATAGATTTCGTATCCTGCGCTCCTTTATGCTCCAGAATAAATTTTCATTTTTTGATCTAGGCTACATCTACAGTCGCTAGCACCCACCAACCCGCACTGGGCCAGCGTGGTGAGTCATGACCCATTCTATTTATTCCATCTATAAGGAAGTCAGAAACTTAATGATAACGCAATTAGAATAACGAAAACTCTATCAATAAATTAACCATATTCACTGCAGGTGCAAAACACAAGGCAATGTTGAGATTAGCATAAAATCTTGTTGGACATTGAGATTGTTTCCCAAGGCTTGAGCCAGAAAGCCGATCCACTTTAGTATGTTTACAATATACATTCTCACCAGAGCTGCCAAAGTCGGTAACAACGAGCTCAGACACCCATTAACCAGAAGTGCAAATAGCAAAATAGGTTTTCCTCCAAATTTTTTCGCTAATATTCCCGCTGGTATCTGCATCGCGACGTAGCCCCAGAAGAAGGATGAGAGGATGACGCTCTGAGTCTTCTTGTCCCAATCGTATATCTAAAATATTTAGAAATAAACAAATAAGAAATCTAATATGCTGGTCTGGAAGCCGAAGAAAAACTGGGCAAAGTCGTCCGAGTAAAAGCTTATTATCACGCAAGGCATATTTAGAATATGTAGTATGGCCTAAAGCTATACTATTATTACTTAACTACAATGTATTTTGAACTTCGTCGGGTGTGAAATTTGATTGTAAGAACATGGTTAGAATGAAATTCTTAATGGCGGAAAACGCAACTTAACATGCAATTTAAAATAGAAAATCGTATTCTAAGAAAAACATTAGATTCATGTAGAAAACACAGGAACAAGAGATACCCTGTAAAATCGGGAGACGTGGTAATCCTGGTCCTACTGTACGGCCTTAAAAACTATGAAAAAGCTGTAGATAAACGACGATTACGACCACAATACACTGAGAGTCTTAATGCTGTCACTTCTTAAGGCTACTTCTGTTTTATTTGATAACTAGCTGACCCAGCGAACTTCGTACCACCCTAAAAAAATAGGGGTTGTCCAGCGGACAAAATTGTGAATCTAAACCATTCTCAGATTCCCTTGAACACACACAAAAAATTTCATCAAAATCGGTCCAGTCGTTTAAGAGAAGTTCAATGACATACAAACTCACAGAAGAATTATATATATAAAGATTTGACAGTAGTTTATTATTTTAATTGTTTAAAGAGCTTGTTAAACATTTACACAATAACATAGTAACTATAGTTTTAGTTTGATGTAAATTCTTCTTTTAGCTTAATCTTGTAACGGTGATGGAAGATCGGTGCCTCCTGCTACAGGTATCGCTATACTTAAAAGGAGTGCACCAACAATGTAATTAGATAAATAATAGGTTAAGTTAAAAATAATAAACATGTTTTGTTTTATTATTATTTATCGTGTATAATTTTGCCAATTGGTCAAATAGCAAATACGAATAGCCATGTGAAATACTAGCATTAAAGTACAGGCGCTGGCTATTGTCACTGAGCTTAGTTCTCTATCTAAGATTCTAGGGCAACACAAAGAATTTGAATAAAGTGCTATAGTATTTCAGAGAACTAAACTCATAATGATATAACTAGGCAAATTGCAAATATAGGAAAAGATTAAATGATTGAATTATTGTAAATATTCATATTTTTCTTGGTGTTTGTTCTATAGCTGCGATCTGTCTGAAGATCTGATGATACAAACTAAGAATTATTGTATTTGTTTCTTAGGTTTTCACACACATCACTCATTAAATAAAACTAGTTTTTTACGGGTTAATGCACGAAACTTTATTTATTTACTTCGAAAGAGTTTTTTCTTCGAACTCAAAAACTCTTTCGAAGGTAGCTCGACAAAATTAAATAAATTTTGATTCCGACGACGTAGCCTGTAAAGGCTACGAAACGTCAATAAATAAATAAAGTTTCGTGCATTAACCCGTAAAAAACTAGTTTTATTTAAGAATTATTGTATCAGAATTCAGCAATATGAAATTATCAAACAAAACCTTTCGATAGCGTCGTTAGCCGAAGACGCAGGTGGTAAGCACGTTAAGTCTGCGATTGTGGAAGTTCAGAGGCTGTCACAATAACTGGTCATTGGATAGGTAATATAAGTTATTTACGGGATTGTTACCATGTACCTTGTTTTTAGCGAGTTTCCGATATTTCGGCACTGTTGCAAGCGCCATGATCACGGAGTAACTGAAGTAATTGCGGGTAGGCTGTTATTGGCAGACATATCGGTCTACCCTCCGACGAAGTCTTTTATTGCGACCCGTACCACTGTTCACATTCTCACTATTCACTCGAAACTGTTCTCGACACACAACACTTACAGTATCGGATCGCGACACGACACTTTTTTGATTATTTCCGGTTTTACACATACGAACCACAGGATTCCAGACACTCGACAATTTAAACCCGTCCTCACGATTGAAATTTTTATGTTTTGTTATTTCAATCGCTTCCCTGACCAATCTTGGTATGTAGTGGCGTTCTGTCGAGATAATCTGTGGGTTATGAAACTCAATCCAGTGGTTAGAACCAGAATTAATCAAATGTTCCGCGATGGCTGATTTCTGCGTATCGTTGTTCTTGATTGCTTTTATGTGTTCCCTCATTCGGCATGATACTGTTCGCTTTGTTTGGCCAATGTACGAACTGCCACAGCTGCAATCGATCTTATAGACACCAGGTTTCTCCAAGGGGAAGTTGTCTTTAGGAGACCGTAGGTATTGTGAAACCTTTCGCACAGGAGTGAAGACAGTGTTTAGTGAGTACTTATTCAGTATGTTTGAGATCTTGTCAGTCACTCCTTTGACGTATGGTAAATAAACAGGTTGTCTGTCTACTCTGTGTCTCTGGTGTCTTAGTTTGTGTCTTGATGGAAAATGTCCCTGGTATCCATTACTCTGTAAGACTCGTCGTACATGCTCCAACTCTTCTTGAAGATGTTCCTCATCACACAGGTCATATGCACGGTTCGTCAGTGAAGTCATTACAGAGTTAAGATGTTTAGGGTGGTGATGCGAGGAGGCGTTGAGATAGCGGTCAGTGTGTGTTGATTTGCGGTAAATGGAATGACCAAGCGAACCGTCATTCCTCACCCGAATCTTCACGTCCAGAAAGGCCAGACTTCTGTCTTCTTCGATCTCATAGGTAAAGTTGATTTTAGAATGGATACCATTTAAATTTGCCAAGTGAGACTCGACATCATGTTTGTTACCTCTTAATATACAGAATACGTCATCGACATACCTCTTCCATAGTTTTATTTCTGTGGGTGCGGTGATAAAGGATTTTCCTTCAAAATGCTCCATCCATATATTGGCAACCACTGGAGCCATGGGACTGCCCATTGCGACCCCATATATGAATTTCTTCATATATCAGGGTCAGTACTACCTCCAAATAGATGGGGTCGCAATGGGCAGTCCCGTGGCTCCAGTGGTTGCCAATATATGGATGGAGCATTTTGAAGGAAAATCCTTTATCACCGCACCCACAGAAATAAAACTATGGAAGAGGTATGTCGATGACGTATTCTGTATATTAAGAGGTAACAAACATGATGTCGAGTCTCACTTGGCAAATTTAAATGGTATCCATTCTAAAATCAACTTTACCTATGAGATCGAAGAAGACAGAAGTCTGGCCTTTCTGGACGTGAAGATTCGGGTGAGGAATGACGGTTCGCTTGGTCATTCCATTTACCGCAAATCAACACACACTGACCGCTATCTCAACGCCTCCTCGCATCACCACCCTAAACATCTTAACTCTGTAATGACTTCACTGACGAACCGTGCATATGACCTGTGTGATGAGGAACATCTTCAAGAAGAGTTGGAGCATGTACGACGAGTCTTACAGAGTAATGGATACCAGGGACATTTTCCATCAAGACACAAACTAAGACACCAGAGACACAGAGTAGACAGACAACCTGTTTATTTACCATACGTCAAAGGAGTGACTGACAAGATCTCAAACATACTGAATAAGTACTCACTAAACACTGTCTTCACTCCTGTGCGAAAGGTTTCACAATACCTACGGTCTCCTAAAGACAACTTCCCCTTGGAGAAACCTGGTGTCTATAAGATCGATTGCAGCTGTGGCAGTTCGTACATTGGCCAAACAAAGCGAACAGTATCATGCCGAATGAGGGAACACATAAAAGCAATCAAGAACAACGATACGCAGAAATCAGCCATCGCGGAACATTTGATTAATTCTGGTTCTAACCACTGGATTGAGTTTCATAACCCACAGATTATCTCGACAGAACGCCACTACATACCAAGATTGGTCAGGGAAGCGATTGAAATAACAAAACATAAAAATTTCAATCGTGAGGACGGGTTTAAATTGTCGAGTGTCTGGAATCCTGTGGTTCGTATGTGTAAAACCGGAAATAATCAAAAAAGTGTCGTGTCGCGATCCGATACTGTAAGTGTTGTGTGTCGAGAACAGTTTCGAGTGAATAGTGAGAATGTGAACAGTGGTACGGGTCGCAATAAAAGACTTCGTCGGAGGGTAGACCGATATGTCTGCCAATAACAGCCTACCCGCAATTACTTCAGTTACTCCGTGATCATGGCGCTTGCAACAGTGCCGAAATATCGGAAACTCGCTAAAAACAAGGTACATGGTAACAATCCCGTAAATAACTTATATTACTATAATGTTAGTGACCATGAAAGTTTAAAACAATACATTGGATAGGTGACCAAAAACCTATTATCATGAGCTCCTTCGTGCATCGGAAGGCATGTTAAGTCATTGGTCTGGGCTACATCTGTACTCGTTAGGACTTACTAATCCCTGAGTGAGTCATGACCAGTTCGCCCCAGGGCTTGTAACCGGTTTCGATAATACCGGTAAATAAACGTTAATACCGGTTTTTAGTAAAGGTTTCGTTCGGAGCGCGTCCGAAATGAAAGCGGTACCTAAAACCTTAATAAACCGGTTTAATCCAGAGCGACAAGTGCACGCGCCGGCATCGCTTGAAGTTTTTCTTTTTTGAACTAATCAAGTCACAACTTGTTAATGCTCAGAGATCGATGCATTTATTGACACGTTTGCTAGCGTCTAGTGAGTCAAGTATTCAATTTGTAGTTGTGTACTGACACACTACTTCACTCACTCGCTCTGTAGTTGGAAAGAAACTGACATAAAATCATTATAAATTTGAATTGATACGGCGAAGGCGATGCCGTCAGTAAGAGCGAAATGAAACCCTTTAAAAACCGCTAAATTGATTCAAAACCTATTTGATTTCGCTTTTTAGGAAAACCGGTTTTTTTAGTTTTAAGGTAAAGCCTAATCTAAATAAAACGCTCCTAATATACTTGATACTGATTTAGGTTTGAAAATTAACCGGTAAACAAGCCGTGGTTCGCCCTATGTTACACATAGGCATGACATGTGCCAAAGAGTGTGGGGACATTAATTGGTTGCTAATGATGGCACATACTGTGACTGTGGTGTCGTTCTTTCTGTTTTCGTCGGACATGGCGAGGACAGCCACCCCCATGCTGCCGCGCGCGATGAACAGAGAGATCATGGTGAAGCACATGCAGGCCATCTGGAGATGTCGGACGCCGAAACAATCATCTAACAGACATGAAAAATACTAAATTATGGAACTCAAGTGGTTGATGGTGCAGTGCTTGGCCAGATATATTCTACCGACAGTTTGGTGTCCAAGACTTTACTTTTACGAGCTTCTTCATTATTTTTCAGTCTATATCTGCAGTCTTTAGTCGTTAATGGGGAGATTAACAGTCCATGATGATCTTCATGATCGAGGATTGGCTCATCATCAAATGTGATTTTAGAAACATGACTGCATCGTTATTGAATAGGTGTATGTTGTGTGGAGGTGCAGAGTAGAGGGAAAAAGACCGCGTGGACGCAGCCCAATACGTTGGTCTGACCAGATTCGTACCGCTCTAGACTCGACAGTCCACAATGCGCTCCACACAGCCAAAGACAGGAACAGATGGAAGAGCATCATACTGAAGAAAGTGATGCAGAAGGGAGGTCACGACCCTCAGTAATGAGGAATGCGACCCAAGGAGGAGGAGGATGTTGTGTGAAACCAATAGTCAAGAAGTGGCCATCATCTCTGATTTCCAGTCACTATTTCTAGAGTATCCACTAATTCTGTTAGTAGGCTTTTACGGTTTGTATGATAAATTACTAAATATCACATTTTATGATTTTCTTTTTCTACTGACCCATTCATATTGGACTGGAATCCCTGTAATCGACTCCGAAACACTAATTAAAAACCACATGCTATTGATTTGAGTTATTGAGGCGTAACAAATACCTAAAAAATGACATTCCTTGATGATCTAACTAGGTCGAAAAATATCAGATACGGTATAAATATACAATGCCAAAGTTACCATTCTCTTTTCGGTCTACCTGGATTCAATTCCAATACCCTAATAAGCTCTGGCAATCAAATTCCATGGATAAACACAATAACATAAAATTTTGCTACAATGTCACAAGATTTGTTCGAGCAGAATTTGCTAGTACGTTAGTTATTCGGGTACCATGGATTCTTTCCATAGTATTCAACTAAGTGTAAGACCGATACTCGGATATTATGGAAAAAAATGGTTGCCTGTAAAGTCGGTTTTACGGGCGAAGATTTTACGTGACAACGTCTTTTTCTCGGTAGAATATTTATTGATATGAATATAATTAAATTGCACAATAGGAACAAGGAATTGAATGAAAATAAGAATTGCACAAATTTTAACTATAGAAATATATTTTGTTTACTAAAACATTGTACATGTAAACTTAAACTTAACACGAGAGACTCATCGTAACGTTACCGAGCGTTACACTTTTTCATAAGTGACTCCCAGCCGCAACCTAATTTAAGACGTTGTCACGTCAAAACTAAAGCCGAGTAAACGAACAATTAGAACTAGTTATGCCGTGTATTGTTTACATCGCTGAAATGACGCTTGTAATTTGATAAAAAGAGACATAGTGATATCTCACGTCACAAACAAAAGGGTATTATCTTCAAAAACACTGTTTTCAGATATCGCGTTTTGAAGTTTTAAAAAATCATAGAAGCGGAATTACTTGTTCAAATGTTTAAAATGATACCTTGATTTAAACGCACATTATCCTTCTTAGTGTTGAGTAAGTTTAGTTAGTGTTTCAATAGTAGTTTTTATTTTAAAAGTACTTTTATGTTACTGGATAAAGAGAATACCCTATAAGCAGTTTAAATGGCTCAAATGGCTCATGTTAAAATTAAAACTGGTATCATTTTAAAATAATTTCGCTGAAAATAACATATGAAATAAAATTGAACAGGCCAGAGGGTATTATTTTGAATAAAACTTCAAACTTGTATTAATCCGAACGGGCAATAGGGTATTAACTTAACATAATACTGTTTAGAATACTCACATAAATTTTGCCTAGAAATTGAGGACATGTGTTGCTATTATTCAAAAACTATTTCGAATTAAAATACAATCTTACCAGTTTATAGAGAAAAAAATTTAGTTTTCGATGCGCATATAAAAAAAAAAAAGTTTTGCCGACATAATACCCTATTGTTTGAGACGTGCGATTTATATCGTAAACTTATTACAGAAAGCTACTCGTATGCGTTTTTTTCTTCATTAATAAAGGGGTGTGAATGAATGAGATGATATGAAATTATGCTTTATTCAAATTTACTTATTAAAAGTTCTTTTGAATCATCCAATATTATTTCCTACCCATTCAGGACTTACTTTAGCTTGTGTATGCTTAATGTCTACTTACATTTCTTTGGCATGTCTCCGACATCTACCTTACCAGGGTAGGTTTCTGCAATTTTCTCTTCAACCATTTTTATCTAACTTTTCACCTCACAGCATCACTTTGTACCGAGAAATGAGCGACTACCATCACTGCTAATTAAATAAACGCATTGTCGCACACATTGCGTACTTCGTAGTTACTTATTACTCAAGACAAAAGGTTCAATGTTCTAACATACTGCATATTCAGAGTTTTGATTGACTTGTCTTTAATTATTCTGAACCTCTTATCTCTGAAAGTAAACTGAAGTAATTTACTACTAACACATTACTGTTTGCTATGTTAATAACAGTATGTATACACAGAACAGGTATCTTTTACAGAAGTCTTAAGAATTAATTTGCTGTCTCAATTTCTTTGGCGTCATATTTTGTTGTAATATTCATGTTCTGCCATCTCATAAAGTCAACTTAAAATGCTACTAAATTAGTCCCTTATATCCTATTAAATTTGAATCATGGTGATTCAATTTAATTGTATGGGGAGCCCAGGCAGGGATTTTGAGGTTTCCTTGAAAAAGAATAACATAAGGGGGCAATATATAGGTCTTAATATATAAAGTCGAAGTCTAGCGCTGCAAAAAATGGAAGGATGAAACTGAAGACTTTTTTTAGGGGTAAATGCATCTTGGCACATATTAAATAAAAATTTATAAAGAATTTTTTGCTAGAAATAATTTCAACCAGAACAATTAAATAATTCAAACCCACTGTTCTGATATTTTTAGATCGTTGTTTTACATTTTATTTAAAAAAATCCGTAAATGTATAAGTTCAGACAAAATAATTCGAGACACATATAATGAATGTATAAGAAAACCAGTCAAGAGCGAACATGGTAAAACTTCTGGAAAATTTATTGAGTGAAATAGGTATTGTACATTTAAAGTAAATTGAAAAAGAAATCTCGAAATTAAATCTTGCCATAATTTCATGTCTTTGATAAGTTTCTAGAATTTCACAGGATACTGTATATAGTAATAGATGGTTTCTATGCAAGTATTAAGATCATTTACATATATTTGTTTCTTAGGTTTTCACGCACATCACTCATTAAATAAAACTAGTTTTTACGGGTTAATGCACGAAACTTTAAATACAACTTTTTAAATAAAACTTTAAATAACTTCAAATAAAAGTTTCATTCTGACGACGTAACCTGTAAAGGCTACGAAACGTCAATAAATAAAATAAAGTTTCGTGCATTGACCCGTAAAAACTAGTTTTATTTAATCATTTATATATTTAATAAACAGTGCAAATAATTCTAAATGTCTGCACTTTAAACAGTCTGTGATTTGGTTTTTATTTTGGGGTTATTCAAATAAAATGAAACTCCGAGTATTTTTTGTAATTTATACTGAATGACATCTGAACTTCTTTCAAAATTAGCAATCATTACATATTGTGTATTTTAATCGAAGAATTATTATTAATAACATATTTTAGTCAAAACGACAGCCTAACATATTTATTTACAAATGACATAGCGGTATAATAATATACTATATCTACTTTATACTCTTCTATTTCTCTCTCTGCTACTACTGAAGTGTTCAAAATTATCATAATGATAATTGTGATTGTTCTTGCCTTCTAGATAAATTGCTCTTATCTCAAGTTTTGTATGAAATCATAGGGAACTCTTTACTTTCAGTAAAATTAATTATATTATATCACATTAAAGTTCTTGCTCGATAACTCAATTTATAACAAATTATCTAACAAAATATTGCCAAAAAAAGTATTATTTCACATCATACACATAATCTAACACTCAGTTAATCATGAGAATACATTAATAGTAGCTACTACTTAATTAATAATTGCAACAGAAAAGGACGAAATTGTCTAGTTATAATATTAAAGAAAAGTTTACTAGAAAAGAATCCACGCGGACCAGGCAGCGGACGGGACTCGAACCCGCACCCTTCGCTATCCGGGCGAATGCACTGACCATTATGCTACCAAGGCATCGAAATTTTCCTAGCCTTAAGCTGCAAGGCAGCGCCATCTCTTCGCATTGTAGGTAATCCACAATGTCAAATGAATACTTTTTCAAGTATTAAACATTTGAAAGAAGAAATAGCAATGCGAAGAGATGGCGCTGCCTTGCAGCTAAAATTTCGACGCGGCGAATAGGGCCGTGGTAGCATAATGGTCAGTGCATTCGCCCGGATTGCGAAGGGTGCGGGTTCGAGTCCCGTCCGCTGCCTGGTCAGCGTGGATTTTCTTCTAGTAAACTTTTGTTTAGATTTAAACATCTAGCAGTTAAATGCTTAAAAATAAATAAAAACATAGTTATAATATTGCTTCAAACCCAATTCTCGTCTTCATCAAGTTAAATACTAACATTAAACTATTGTTTTAAAATCAGTCTTATGTAAATCGTCTTAAGAAATTTATTTTAACGATGATAGTGATTTAGAGCTGAGTCTTCTCCTCATACGCGTCACGAGATTCTGTTTTGACGCCGGTTTGTGGCTTCTTTTTACCTGAAACAGAGAAAACAACTTTTTATAATTCATTTCGTACATTTGTTTTAAATGCCTATTCGTATATCTTTATACCAGAATTGAGTGAAATTGCAGGTACTAAACTTTAAGATATTTGATTAGCTTACTATTAAACCTAAGTCACTCATATAATTTTATATAACATTGCACGGTTGGCAGAGAATTCAAGTCACCTTCATACCAGATAAGATAATTGCAAATGTATTATTAGGTATGTTTTAATGTTTCAGTTATGTTTTAATGCATCTGCATCCTAGCAATTTGAAATTGCCACATAAAAAGTATTCCTAAGCATTTTATGAAATATGCTGTTATTATCATAGACAATGAGATAATTCTCAAACTTTTATCTCGACTGACCGCAGAGGTCATTTATCTTGCCGCTCTTTTTGCCACAACAATATTAAATTTTTGCGACGCTTACCTGCACCCATCAGAAGCTTCTGCAGCGTAGAGAAAGGAGCATCAATCAGAATGCAAAGAATGAAGGCAGCAATAAATGTCAGCATCAAGTCGGACAAGAATCGGTAAAACTAAAACAAAATACAAATATCTAATCAGTTTTATAAGTGACTATTAGTGAACTTGCTTTCGGTCTCGTCAGGTAATCTTTACAGAGTTTCTAGCTCGCAGCTCTGGTCACCAGAATATCTCTTACAATTTCAATTCGATATTAAAATGAGTTTATTGTTTCTTGGAGATTAAAATTAATATAATAATAATAACAAACATTTATTCCAGACTTTAAATTCATAGACAAGTGTTAATAATTAACATGTGCGTAATTAGTTATTCTGTTATTTATCATAAGTCCTCATTTATAAATCTATATTTAAGAGATTTTTTTCCATTGGACAGTGCAAATAGTTTCTTTACTAGCAAACCAGTGAACCAAATGTTCACCAAAACCTGCTTAAAAAAAATGTATTTAATTAATTGAGAACTTCGGCGATTTTGTGTGGTTTCGTTTGAAATTCGTGATTTCTCGAAAACCGGAAGTGCTACGTTACTCAAATCCGGTTTGTAGTCTTATCAGACTATTCTTAACTTATAACTTAAACATTCTCTTTATCTATCTCTTACGGTTTGGCCGCTGAAACAGCACCACAGACGGACGGACTTGTCTAATAGATAAGAGATAATTTTAAGTTATGTCTAGATGTGAGGACCTGTAATTGGCTCTTTGTCGCCACTAGTATATTAAGATAAGCTGTTGGTCTTCCATGTAACCAAAATATATAAATAAATAAATGAGATTCGGTTTGTGTGGATCAACAGATTGTCAACTCTACTTGAAGAGATCTTCGAAGAAAATATTCCAAAAATGGGTGTGATCATCAAGAACTTCATAATTATGGTGTCGATATAAAATTCTCTACGCTGATTTGAATTTATTAAATATCAGATGTATACTTACAACTTCATTACTCCTAAAATAGTAAGTGTGCGTCCAGCTGCCATTTGCAACCATTATGATGGGTAAATGAATCAAGTACATCGCAAATGACAAGCGAGCTGGTAGCTTCCACATTTGCAATGAGAGGAACCAATTTATGGGACCTGAAATTAAATCAATGATCAGTTGATATCGCTATTTATTGTAATATTTATATAAGACTCGATTATATTGTGATAAGTAACGTCCAAAAATCTCGAACAGTAGGAGTTCCTGATTATAAAAAATCTTCTAGCTCAGAACCTAGAGAGTTGCCTAGCTCAGAACTACCAAGGTAGTTACGAACTACATATAATTCACTCTTTGCAAATTACATTTGGCAAAAAACCAGTAGTAAAGTGTTCAACCTAATGATTTTATTCATCATCTGCCTGATAATGTCCTCACTGCTGGGGCACAGGCCTTCCCTATGGATGGAATAGGGAGCTTGGGCTATGACCCAGCACGCGGGCCCAGTGAGGATTGGTGGATCCTAACGACTGCAAATGCAGCCGGGACCAACGGCTTAACGTGCCTTCTGAAGCACGGAGGCAGTCGAATTAGAAGATTTTTGGTCACCCATTCAATGACCCACCACTGCGAAAGTTGCTTAACTTCAACGATTGCAGGCTAACGCGCTAACCAGCTGCGCCATCGAGCTCCTCATTCACGGTTTAATTACTGTTATATTGTTTTGATAAGAAAAGCATTTATCGTCATTTGGATATAGATTATAAAATTAAGGTTGATAATTAATAGGAAAAGTAGGTACATAAGATTTTATTAATGAATTCATAATGATCTAAATATATAGGGAGATAACGAAATGTAGATAATGAATCAAATAATATTGTTGAGTTTGCTAATCTTTTCTGATTTCTATCAAAAATTAGAATTATTTATAGATAAGAGGAAAACAATAAAAATTGTAGGTATCTGCATTTTAATGTATATACTGGTATCTGTATTTTTTATTATTTATTGCTGTCTTAATAATTAATAATGGATCAAGGCGAATAGATTTAGGTAGACACTTATTAAGCACATTTTCGGACTGCTATTATAATCGAAAGGCAAGTGCCGTGCTTCGGAAGGCACGTTAAGCCGTTGGTCCCGGCTGCATCTGCAGTCGTTAGCACCCACCAATCCGCACTGGGCCCGCGTGGTGGGTCATGGCCCAGTCTCCCTATTCCATATATAGGGAAGGCCTTTGCCACAGCAGTGGGGACATGGGCCTTTTTTTTTATCTTTCCCGAGTTTACCGTAACGTAATTAAAATAGATTATAGACATGACGCATTGTTTAGACACTGTTTTATAGTAAATTTTATGGAGAATCCAAATATATATAGTTTGTGTAGGGTATTCTTACAAAATAACAGAGAAATCGGCAAAGCAATGCAATCATTCCCACCCCGCGGGGGGCCTCGGTGGGTGGTCGTGCCGTGTAAGGGTTTAGCGGCGTGTGCGTGTGGCCGTGGGAAGAAAATTTGTTTATGCGAAGACATTATGAAAATGTTATTTGCAATAATCATAATCAAAATCATTCATTCAGTTTAGGCTGTTACAAGCACATATGAATGTCTAGAAGGTACGCCATCGGTTCGTAAATCTACGGCGGGAGACCTTTTACTGAGAAGAACCGGCAAGAAACTCAGCAAGGGCTGTTTTTTTCTCCCTGTTTTATCATTTACAGAGTCGTCAAGTTGAAAAATGACTTCAGAGATGATTCATGAAATCACCCTTCATTACATAATGTGAAATTATACATTAATTGTTCACCTGCATTTTGATTGCTGTGTCACACATTATAAATACGAACAGAGTTATTTATAATAGGTGTAATTAAACATTTACATCTTAAATATCAAAGTAGTTAGGGCAGACTCATCTCCGCTGGCAGCACCCGTTTACGAGCATGACGCATGAACCAGCCATCGCTTCGCTCAACCATATTTTAGGGAACGTAACGACCCGCCTCACACGACACCACCGAAGAGACTTTTAAGAGAGCATGACTACCCATAACCACCTATATCAGTCACAACATATATACTTAAACTTAAAGTCATTTATCTGTAGGACACTGCAAACAATTACAAAGCAAAAACAATGGAGAAATCATGATCACGCCGTTTTGTCATTCAAATCTTCTTAAACAGTCTGATATTCTTCCTTACGTAATCAACTTTAAATACAGCTTTTCAATAGAAGTATCATCAACACATGATTCATAATATATATCATATAGAAATACCCAATAACTTGAAATCCTTGTTTTTCTTTCCGATTTTTGTTTATTTCGTGATAAATAACCTTGATATTAAATGCACAGGTGTGATATTTCCTAAAGAAAGTAGGGTACTACTATTTTATCTAAGAATAATTAAAAGGATTCTTAATCCTTCAAAAAAATATAAGATAATTCTAGCTAATGAACGCAAACTTCAAATATGACCTTCATTAACAATAATAACATAGATAAGGTTTCGACGTTTCTTTTTTAAATTGTTTATGAAATCTGATGATAGAATTACGATAAGCGTCATTGATAGTATTATTTATAATACTAATAATAATTAATGATTTATAAATCCAAAGTTCCTTAACCTTCTTAAGAATAATATCTAATTTACAAAATAAATTAAAAATTTACTTACACTTGTAATTCTGACTTTCTTTCCGCGGTACAAGTGGAGAATATATCCATAAATCATGCCAACGAAAAATGGAGGCGCTCTTGCCAGAGTGTTAAAGTAGTATGTTTCGAAATAGTTTACAATCTCAAACATGCGACTGTAATAAAATAAATGTGACACGTTAATAATATTTATCACTAGTGGCCCGCCCTCGCTTCGCTTCGGTGTAGTGCTGTAGTGTAAACTATAGTTTTTGTTCTCAGGCTTGTGCTATAAAGAATGACTTTATTTATATAATTACACGTGTTATTGTAGATATATGCTGTTGCGGGATATTTTTTACATAATTTTATGTAGAATATTTCCGTCATACATGATTTCTATGTAACTTTAACCATTAAGGCTGCACCCGCGACGGAAGCTTAAAAAATGGAGTAACTTCTCCCGTTTTCCCAACATTTCCCTTTACTACTCAGCTGCTATTGATTGTAGCGTGATGAAAAGTATACTATAACCTGCCCAGGAGTATGAAGAATAATTGTACAAAGTTTCGTTAAAATCCGTTGAGTAGTTTTTGTTTCTATAAGGAACATACACACAGACAGACAGACAGACAGACAGACAAAAATTTTACTGATTGCATTTTTGGCATCAGTATCGATCACTAATCACCCCCTGATAGTTATTTTAAAAATATATTTCATGTACAGAATTGACAGCTCTACAGATTTATTATAAGGATAGATAAGAGTAAAAATAATATTTTTTGGAATCGTTCGATTGCCTTGAGTTACTTTGACTTTTATTAATCTCAAACAAAGAAACGGAACCCTAAAAAGTTATTAACCCGTTAGGGTTCCTACTGCTGGGGCACAGGATCTCCACTATGAGCAAAAAAAGGATGAGCCATGGGATTGTTTGCTGTTCAAAACTTTTGACTCAGCCTAGACCAACGTATTAAAGTGCAGTACACAAATTTTTGGTCAACCCATCTGATGAATGGTCATTAATAAATTTAGGTTATTTCTACATCAAAATATCAATATATTATGTACTTACTTTGGTTGGACAAGGGCAGCGCTGAAATCGTAAATGAAGCTGTATACAGAAGCTGATACAAGAGATAGCAGAAAGATGCAGCACAGGACACCCCATGCAAACTTCCGTGATCCAAACAACCAGACCAGTATCAATGGAGAGAATATGTACAGCTGCATGTCTACAGAAAGGTACCAAGTTTGAGGTATGCACTGAAACAAAAGAAAGGATTTTTATTTACGATATCATAATTTATGTCTTTGAGAATAAGGAGTAACTTTAATGAAGATTACTGATTCAGTAAAGATACGAAGGTACGTTGAGCACCAGTTACTATCATGAACCCTACTTTCAGTGTTCTATTTAGCTCCTACTGATAAAACGAGGATAGGTCGCGTGAGGAAACTTTGTTTAAAGGCGAATAAATCAAATTCAACTTACTACTCTGGTTGGGTTCACGTAGTTCTGTACATGGAGTAAGGCAGACCACCAATACTTTCTGCAGTTTTCTGTTGCCGCACCAACATTCATCCAGAAGGGCCCGTCAGAGAGGTAGTTAAAGACGGACGCCTGGAGGAGGATGACGGTGGCGAGAAGAGGAAAAATCCTCAATAGCCGATTCATGTAGAATAAATGCACGGTTCTAATAAAACGACCTGAAACCGAGAAAAGAAATCAGTGACAGTATGAAAGACATAATAAAGTTCTACATAGACACAATTGAATTGTTTGCCTATGCTTATTGATACATTATTTTCACAATATACACAATGAAAGTGTATTTTGAATCAAAGAATTGAATTGCTATTATTACGAAGTTTTCAAGGATTCAAACTGTTAGGTTTATTTTTATTCCATTATTTTAAGATACTCCAGGCATACAATTAGTATTGGAAAATATATGTAATAAGAGTAACAAATTATAATATTTCCCGACAAATACGATTTTAGTGAGATTTATATTGTTCATTACATTTTATCTGTGCTATCGTAACTTTGCTAAAGCATTGGCTGATAATAACAATTATTTGATTTGATGATAAAATTTCACAGCAGAATGTGCGAGAAACACGCGATACAATGATTTTAAAAATACTTAAAAGTAAATAATATTGCTTACTTTTGCTTATCTTGCCAGTAGTACTGTAGACGACTAGAATTCCACTCAACAAGAAGAATGTATCAACACTCAATGGTGCTGAATTAACCCATGTACTTGTGAACAGTCTCATCCACTGTAACAAATGAACAAAAGATATAAACACTCAGTTGAAATTATTTTAAGTACCCATAAATGAAAAATAATAATAAGTGGATCTCAACAATAGGTATTCGAGAGATCACTTTCCCTATACAAGACCTAAAGAGAAAGCAAATCATATAATGCTAACTAATTGTATTTGGTAAAAGTCCAATGCATTTGAGGTATTGCCCATAATCGCCACGCTGGGCAGGCGGGTTGGCGATCGCAGAACGTAGATTAATTAACTGATGACGCTGCTGCCCGTCACCAGTGAGATTTCCCTGCCCTACGTCGTTGGATGGTTATACCGCCATCGGTTGGTTTGCCAGAGCCTCGTCTGTTGGTCAACAGGGTGCACCACGTGAAGGTGAGGTTGGCTTGGGTTCTTGCAGGTGTATTTAGAACTCCTTACACCCCCTTACAACGTAGTGTAGAACGTCCTCAGGCACGATGGAGTGACGATTTGCGCAAGGTGGCTGGCAGGAGCTGGATGCGAGTAGCCCAAGATCGATGTGAGTGGCATGCATTTGGAGAGGCCTATGTCCAGCAGTGGACTAAGATGGGCTGTTGATGAAAGTCCAATGGGCAAGGCAGTTTCAATACCTATTGAAGGTTTAGCAGAACTAAGGCGACACTTACTAGTAAGGCGACTGCGACGCACCGGCGATTTCGTAAAAACACACTCATATAAACACAGTTCGGTAGCCACACTGCAAAAATACCTGCAGTCACAGTCGCTGACACCTTAGTAGAGCGGCCGCGGCCTAAAGGTAGAGTTTGTTTTTGTTTTAACCAAAATACGATAGTTTTAGCTGCTCCTGTTTAAATTAGAATAAACTTTTCAGGACCGAGTCCTTTTTTTTTAAAGTGTGTGCATCTCGGGACGCACGACAGAAGTGATAACTTTGACTATCCTTTTTTGAGCACAGGAGCTTGGTAGGTGAAAAGGGGATTGGAGGGTGGAAAGAGATTGGCGGGTGAAAAGGGATTGGAGGGTGATAGTGAAGATTGATGGGTGTAAGTGAAAGTGTGTGCGATAGTAGGGATTGATGGTTTTGGGAGTGCTCTGATACCTGGCCGGGCTGTGCCGTCTTTCTCCTTGGGCGGGGGAGCGGGCGCGGCGAAGGGAATTGAGACAGACTGGCCCGCAACGCGTTAGGTAACGAAGAGGTTTACCCTCCCAGAAGAAGTTATAACTTAAAATTTATAAAATGAAATAAGAAATCCACTTTTGATATGTACGAGTATCGCTTACCTCAAGAATGTCTTGTACGTTATACACAAATCCTAAAAATGTCATCGAGTATGTATGTCCAACGACGACCCACAACATAGAGATAGCCCTGATACCATCTACACATTCTAGAGCTTCCGGATTACTGTTAAAGGTCAAGAAGCGTTTGGTATTCGTATATACGGAGAAGCAGCAGTACATTTTGTTGGGCCCTGCAACCATAATCATGTTGATGTTAATATTAAACTGAAATGACGTGGAAAACAATCCTAACACTGCTTCGTAAAGAAAATAAATTTTGGTGGAACATAAATTAAATCATATCCGATTTGTTAATGTTGCTGTTTCCATTTTAGATAATTATTGCAAATATGCAAGTCGACAATACTTGTTTCTTTTTATATAGTAAAAAGAATAAAGGAAATTGCTCGTAAAACTCTTATATTAACGAATTAAGCAAAATTTCAGTCTTACAAGATGCAAAAAAGTATTTGAAGGAAATAAAAATTATCATCTATAAACTTACGCTGTCTGAGCTGAAAGTTGCTGTATAAGTCATAGGTAGTGCTGATGATTACAAGAAATCCAATTACAGAGAAAATTACACTGCAACAAAAGAGAAAACCCCATTGAATAATAAAATATATTTATGACGAAGATTTTTTTTGGAATTTGCAAACATATTTGATTTCTTATCAAAATGTTATCTTTGATAAATTAAAATTAATCTCTACACTATCGAAGATAAGTTCATTAAAAGCACAGGTGTTCACGAATGCATGAATCGAATGTATGATTTATTTTATCTGATACCATAGATCTTCACTAATTTATTGTTGAAATGAAATGTTGCTAAGCTGCAGAAAGTTCTGTCAATTTATCCTTATAAGTTTTTTATGTATATCTAATACAGTAATATGAAAAATCTTTACTTACAATGCGACATAGTCAGCTGGAGCGAATGGTCGGTCTTGTGGCAGACGATAGTAATATTCCATAAAAGTAAAGTTTAGGAATGGAATATGCCTTTGGAAGTAAGTGACAGCTTCCGTAGATGTGCACACTTTGGGAACACAAACGCCCAACATCGCTCGGTTTTGGGCAGTAATGAACATCGGAAAGATCCTGTGAGAGTATTAATTATAATTTCTTGGTTATATTGTCTGTATTAAAATATATATTTAACAAAATACATTTTATTAATAATACACAAAATCAATGAATGCATATTTCATTCAAATACATACGAGGATAATTTAGCATTTTAACATCAATGAGTTCAAATGTGGAACTCAATATAATAGGTATAATGGTGGACAAACTTTGTGCTCTAGACCGCGATACCAAAGAAGACCCTATGTATTGTCTAATGCTGATTCCAAACCAAATTTGCGGTGAGAAATACATGATGATAAGATAAAAATGGACTTGCCTCGTATTGATATCCTGCTGTTCGACAAGCACATTTTCTTCTCCAACACCTGCCATAATTTGAGCCAATAGTCGAATATTGTTCATCTGCTCCTGACTTCGAACTTGCTCAATCGGCCAAATCGGTATCGTTATATTTGGTATCGGAGGTAATTCCGGTATTTCTGGAATTTCTGGCAACTGCGGTATTTGTATCGGTTGGTCCAATGGAATTTGTATGCCACTGTATTTACCTTCTATGAAAGTATCGTTGGCGTATACAGCTATACTTAGACATTGGTAATAGTCACCAAGATCGTTCAGGTTCGATGATGCGATACCATTTGGAATCTTTCCACTGGAGTCAAGAACTGATTGAACAAAAAGAAATAAAATTCTTCTATTAATGTGTAGTAAGTAAAAAAAAAACTTAAATAAGGTAAGTTCCTAAATGAGGTGACTTTTTGAAAGACTACGTTTCTTGAAGATTTATATTTGTAATTGGACCGGGTTAGTGACGTTGAAATTGTTCAAAAATTACAACTTCTTGCAGATCTGCTCCAATAATTGTTCCAACCATCATAATTTAGTTCCAAACAAAGAAGGCAGTGGAGGCAATTGTGATGAAAAAAAAAATTACATTGCCAGTGTTTTTTTATTAAGAAAAAAGTATATACTGGATTAAAACTTCATAAAAAGAAAATGGTATGGATACAATTTGAACATGCTATGCCCTACTAGTTTCAGGGGCTTCATTGTATAAATTTAAATAATTACACAATACCTTCCATTGTACAGTTAAGTAAGAGATAAGTTATGCCACACATTGCATCGTAATGTTTGATACAATTTCAGTATTTTTCAATTGCTGTTTTTTTTATTATTTCACTTTGAACAATTTGAGATTGTTTGCACGCACTTTTAAATATTTTGAACTAGCCTGTTAATATTTTACTCGTTGCTGGTATAAAGTTGGCATCAGAGATACATATTTCACCAGACACACTTATATAAGCTCTTTTATCTCTTAAAAGTGTATCTTTAATAATACCAAAAAGGACACTTGATCGTAGTACACAACATATTTTTTTTAATACATTTTTTTGGTGGTTTTATGAACACATACAGAAAGACAAAGTGTTTAGAGACACATGAGGCGTATGATATGCTACTTACACAGCCATTGCAGATTTGTAGTGACCAAAATCTCCATCTGCCTTTGACACAATTTTGGGTCCAAAACGTTTTTGTACAAGTCATAATCAAAAGCTCTCCTATACCCGTTAGAACTATACACCACCAGAAGCAATATTATCACAACACTGTTGTTACACATCGTTGCTAGCATGTTCACTTACTGGTATCAAGCTCATCAATACACCAGTATCGTCGAGTAATATATTTTTATTTGCCCGCAATCAATAATGTGCTATCTTAGATAAAAAAAGTTATTAGAATGAAATCGGATATTGGTGCTGATTGGGCAAAACAAATAATTAAGTGGCTATAAAATTATGTTTCAAAACAATAAATCTAGTCAAATCCTAATTAGATGCATACAAACTATTCAGTACCATTGTATACAATTTCATGGAACATACGGTTGAAAAAATCAAGTTTCATGTATGGAGCCGTCGCCTTTTCTTATTGGTTTTATTTCATTCCAAGTAAAATTAAAAAGTTCTTTCCAGTGCATCGTCACCGACATCATCATTGTTAGGATTATTATTTTTTTATATCAGAGGGTTTACTTCATTTGCCCTCTTAGCTTATAATATTATCATGGTTATAAAAAAGAATAGAAATCAGAAATCAATATATCTTTATTCAAATTGGATGTATAGTACAACACTTTTGCATCGTCCAAACATTTTTTTCCCTACCACTCGTTATTGGACATATGACAGAGATAGATGTAACAACATTTACAAATCATTATGTTGTTACAACGTCAATACAATCATGATTTATTTAATATAGAAAACCTGTTGGAATTATTGGAACAGTTCAAACCCAAACATTTTTATCTGTAATATAATCAGACACTTTGTAATAAGCTTTTTTAATAATGGCTTTTTTTAATATCTTTGAATTTATTTATGGTTAACTCTTGGATGTTGCTTGGGACTTTATTTAATAAGCGAACACAAAGACCTTTAAATGAATTATTGAAATTGTGAAGCCTAGTAGCAGGTAAAGTTAGTTTATTTTTGTTTCTTGTATTAACCCGGCGTGAGTGAGGTCGGGTATGTCATACCCGAGAAGTTTTTAAACGCAGATTATTTAATGTTACTGTTGCCATGTGAGTCCTGTCGTTTCAGTAGCTGGAGGTAAGGGTGTGAGGGGTGCGGTACAGTATCGGGTTTAGTGTTACATCGGCAGTGACGGTAAATACAGGGGCATACACGTGGTTGGGGTACGTCATACCCGACCTCGTAGTCGGTGTTACATTTTTGTGATGACAGTAAGTTTTTGATTTATAGTTATTTATAGCATTTTTTGATTCATTTTTAGATTTTGCAAGATGTATTATGAAGAATATAAACATTGGCTACAAGAACTATTAGAAAACTGCTCAAGTGCTAGCTCCTGTGACTCCGAGAGCGAAGAAGAAATTGATAACTTTTCTCAGAGAAGTGAAGAAAGTGATTCGGAACAAGAGGGTATTTTGGATAATTTGGAAGAGCCAGAATCTGTGCCGGCGGCTACTAGTCAGTCAGCTGAGGTACGTAAACTTGTTATAAATCCAAAGATGGAACAAAATGGTCAAAATATTGTCCTAGACAAAGCGTTCGAGTTCGGTCTGAGAATATTATTACTAATGCTCCAGGCGTAAAAGGTACAGACAATATGTTCAATAAAGTACTTATGATGCAGCGCCGAGACTTCATTCGTAATTTAGGTTTTAATCTAATAAATGATAGTCTCCGGAACAGGCAACACAATGTACATCTTCCAAGGGAAACACGAAAAAGGATTGCCGATTATTTAGAGGAACCTTCACCACCAGTTCCCAAAAAAATGGCTGGTAAATATGTTAGATGTGATGAGTGTACTCAGAAAAAAGACAAAAAAACAAAACGTTGCTGTACAAAATGTGAGAAGCCACTATGTATGGAACACGCGATTTTTATGTGCGGAGTTGTGCGGATTTGTAGGTGTAATTTTGGTGCTCTTTTACATGATTTTATAAGACTTTTCAGTTCCTTTTTTATTTATAATAATAAGAAGACACTCTTGTTATGTTGATTTATCAAAGAAGTTGGATTTTTGTTAGATTTTTATGCGAAAAGAAGTTAACTACCTAAACTTGCATTTTTTCAAAGAAAATTTACATATTTTGTACTTTCAATAAAAAATAACGTTTTTTGTACTTAATGCTGGTATTTTATTTACTAATCTTGATGAATGGATACTATTATTAATACATCTCAAGTATAAATGCTAATTACACAGTAATAGTAACAAAAATCGAACATTAAAATTTTGGGTATCTCCTACCCGCCTCATAGCTGGTTTAACAATTTCTCATCTCATTCACGCCGGGTTAAGTGTGTGAACATCACTGTTTTTAAAAACAAATTAATATTTTTTCTTACAAGTAATAAATTTTCCTATATATCGTGATGCAACCGTCATTATTCTAAATTCTTTAAACCTATCCTTTACTTTAAGATTATAAATTGACCGAATAGCTCTCTTCTGCAGCACAAAAATAGTTTGAATGTCGGCGGCGTTTCCCCACAAAAAAAAAATCCGCACGACATTACACTATGGAATTAACTAAAGTACACTAATCTGGCCGTATCTACATCCGTTAACTGGCGTATCTTCATTACTGCATATGCTGCAGAGCTAAGTCTATTTGACAATTTATCAATATGTGGGCCCCATTGAAGCTTAGAATCTAAAGTAATCCCTAAGAATACTGTCTGTAAAGTCTACAAGGCCCATATTCCTATCTTTTACAACAACAACTTACCTACAATATATAGCGGAAGCATCCCTAGTCCAACTTTAGCCTTATTTTAGAATGCTTTAATAGGTGCAGGGTTCACCATATATAATCTGGAACTGAAAACTCGTGAAATTTGCCATGCCACAAGAATTTCGCTCAAAGAATTCTTCAAACCTCTATTTCCGTTGCTGAGCAAAAACCATGTCGCCATTAATGCAAATTTTTGTCCGGCCACAGGAATTCCATTGGCTTTTGTTCTTTCACATACAAAGGATTCCTGATAGCGTAGCGGATTAAAATTTTAATCAATGAAAATAGTGTAAAGAAGCTTGATCGATCTATATAGATTTTACAAATCACGAATAAAATTCCAGGATCAATACGATTAATGTAATAATCAATACATTCAAAAATATCTCTCTATCGATCAAAAAGTTATGATTACGTTGTCAATAAAGAAATCATTGAGTTCTTGTTTTATTTTTTATCCTTTGTTATCGTGTTTCGTTCGAGTTGTTGTTACTTAGGGGCTGTTTCCTTCTTTTATTTATACACATTTTATTACCTTGTCTTAGTATGTTTACAAATTAGGAACAAGCATAGTTTAAGAATTCGGTAATATTATCCGTATTTTTTTGAGCAGAATATAAACAAGTTTTGCTGAAGTAAGCAAATAGGAGTGATGACGGGGTACAGTAAACGAAATTCTATTTAGTCCGCCAGTAAGATGATCAAAAAATAATGGACACGTATTTTTTCTTTGGGCAATCAACCAAAAAATGACAAAGTTATAGCGCGTCAAAGTTTGGGAGTAGGGGCTCGTGACGTCACTTTTGAATGAATTTTCACTTATACTTGTATTTAAACGTGACGTCATGCGACTTTTCAAATCAATATATCTCTGCAATGTTTATGTTATGTGAAAAAAGAAAAAATATGTGTCCAATACTTTTTGATAATCTACCTGATAAACGAAGAAAAAAAATTAGTCATCATCCCTATTGTTGAGGACCTACACTTTCCTTGGTCACTTGCAATTTTGCAAAGTTCACACACCAAATACTTGATAATAAAAAATATATTGTAATATTATTTGATATTACTAATGACATATTATTATTATTTTATAATATAGGGGGCGTTTCTGTATTTATGTTACAATCCTTCGAAACCAACGTAAAAAAAGGGATAATATCATATTAAAAAAGTACTCACTCGCAAATTAACTTAATAAAGCTTATAGTTATTAGGGTTAGTGATATTCGAAGAAAATCTGTATGAATTAATATTGAAATTGACAACATTTTAATTTTCTATAATGACAACTCAATGCCTTCCCGCGTAATCTAGATTGAACGCTTTTGGTCAACGGCTATTTGCCATCGGCTAATCAGAACGCTGTATTTTCCCGCCGATTTATAAACGACCAATCACAGGCGTGGAGGTTTTGGAGGGAACCCAGAGAGAAATTACGGGGGAATGACCACTTTTGCACATTCTTCGTCGCGGGGTCGATGTGTGAAGACGTTTTAAACTATTGTTATTAGTGAAGAGTTTAATTAAAAATTAATAAGAAGAAGTTAATTGCTTTTATTTTACGGAATCTTAGAAGCATTAGTACCTAGCTCGTCTATCTATTAAACAGTTATCTAGTATAGTTACATCATTAATAATAATTTAGAATAAATCTTATATTATACGTAATAATATTCGCATTGCGAGAAGACTCAAGATGTTTGAAAATAACCCAAGTGTCTAATTAAAGTACATTTTTTCATAACCACTGTTCAAAATGTACTTTGTTCGGAGAAGATTAAATCCAGTCCGCAAACAGCATATTCATTAAAAACCAAAATATTGCAACATTATCTTAATTCATAACGTAAAATATTATAGAAGGAACAACACAATATCTGAATATTACATGAATCACACCGCAGTGCGTAGGCTTGTTGAAAATATATCGATGTATCGATATATCGATATTTTTTGTTCGATATATCGATATTTTTTACCGATATATTTTGATTCGATATATCGATACATCGATACAAAATAACCAATATCTAAATTCATATCAAAAACGATATTTTTTTAATTATTAGCGGCATATCACGATCTAACTAAATTCGTCTCTGGAAAAATCGTAACTGGATCTCAGATTAATGATATTCAACATATCTATGATCTGTGCTGTATTTAGTATTGTCTATGTCATCATTCGAAAATAGGGTCTATTTTAAGGGAGATAATTTTCGTTCCATTATTATTCCGCGTGTCATATTTTGTGAGCTACTGTACGATATTTTTGGGAAAATTGGTCCGATATACCGATATATCGATGTATTTTTCGCGATATATCGAAGCCGATATTGATATTTTTTAAAATA